ACTCAGCCTAAGATGTGTAGCCTGTACAGGTTGGTTAGGGGTGAGGATTATGGTTCCGGGTTTTACTGTTTTTATTTATCGTTCTGCTTGTTCACTCAGGCAAGTCTCTTTGAGCCTCAAGACTCTTTTTTCAAGAAAGCCCTGGCAGGCGTTCACAGCGGGAAAACGACGATTGCCACGCGGTTCCCGAAGAAGTAAACGTTTAAAACGTCGCCAAGTTTGGAAGCGGACACCGGCACGCAACGCCCTACTCTTCGCAAAACGACGTCACGGAATATTTAACATCTGCTGCGAAGCAGACACCACTTACGCACACCGCAGTATTAACCAGGCCGGCCTGCCAGAATCGAACCGAGAAAGTCCGCGACGAGCGGCGAGCTGCAGCCGGGCCGTGGCACTGCCCCTCGGGGTTTTCTTGGTTGGGGATGTAGGGGTTAGGGTTTAGTGCTCTGGTTTGGGGTTAGTGGTTGGTGTTTGCGGTCCAGGGCAGTTAAAGTTTGCGGGTTTTGGAAAACGGCGGCGCCTCAGTCCCCGGTGTTCTCACCGGGCTTCCGCGGGGACGTGAATGTGCCAACCGCCCCTGCGTGGCGGTGGTGTCTTTGAGACGCGGCCGCTTCCCGCGCTATTTATAACCCTCCCCACGTTTCACTGTGTGCCTGTGTGAGCACGGGGAAGACAAAGGAGACCGGGCGGACGTGATGCTCGTGAGCGCGTGTGCAGTACTGACCTAAGTAGGCGCTCGCTAATACCTCCGGCAGTCGCGGTTCTCTGTGGCTGAGTGTGTGCCCGTGTATGCGTCCTCTCCCTCTCTACCATCTTACTTTGTTCGCGGTAATTAGGGTAATGGTTTGTACGGTCATTCCATTACCGCGTCGGTGCACTTTGCGTTGAGGTGCTCTCTAAAGCGGGCGGCAGACAGGCAGCGCAGTGGTCACGGAGAGAAGAGCCTGGGTTGGATTCCCGACTCCCGTGCCTCTCCGTTCCAGGTGTAGGTTTCCTCCGGGTTCTCCGATTTCTTCCCAATTCGGATCGCGCACACGGCAGCAATTCCGTCCCCTACTGCCGAAAACTTGGAAGGGCCCCCCCCCCCCCCCCGGCTCTTGAGACTCAGGATTTACCTGGGCAAACGAGATGCACAAATGAATACGTATTTTTTTTTTATCGTGAGCAGGTCCTGTGTGGATTGTCTCAAGGCTGTGTGAGATGTTGCGAAGGCTTGGGAAGGCCTTCGTCCAGCATTGGAATGGCCAAGTGTAACCATGACGATGGTTAACGACTAAAACTCATCCTGTGTGGCGGTTGGGCTTTGACTGGTGGGCTTTGAACGATTTCCTCGATTCGTGGACATCGTTGCTGAAGGCCATTATCGATCCGTTTAATCCTGTGTCTTGAGGATCAAATTAGTGACCCCCGTGTGGCATCTGAACTGTTTCTGCTCCTCCGCCATCTCCAAGCCTCACTGATGTCCCCCGCGGCACCGACGCGCCGTGGAGAGACCGAGCAGAATGACGACAATAACAAAAACAATAATAATAATATTGTGACGGAGCTTTGTTCCAAGAGAGACGAACGAGATGGAACAAACTTGATTTGGAGCTTTCGTGACTGCAGGAATATTACTCTTTGGTTCTTTGGGTAAAGTCACGTGGAAAGAAAATAAATTAAATAATAGCACGCGACGTTTCGATCGCAACACAGGCAGTCGTCATCAGGTACGAATGAAAGCGAAAACAAACCTAGTAAACTTAGAAATATAATGCGATACAGCACAGAGAGGCGGCTAACATGACAGTCAGCACCCCACCTGGTTGATTACATTCTTCCAAAGAGATTGAACAAACCTGGCAGGATGTACGAGACAAACATGCACTGCAAGTCAAGAAGCAGGAGAGTGGATTCTTGAATGGAGTCGTTGGCCCGGAGTTGCCAGGAGGTGTCAGTTGTTTCGTGCCTGATGACGGGGGTCGACCCGGCACCCACCTCCCCCCCTACCCCCCGCAGTGGTTCAGGGCTAGGGGTCAGGGGTCGGACACCAGCCGAACCCACAGGGCAAGCATTTCCCCCTCGGCACAGTGTGAGAACATCCGTAGGGCTGTTGATGATGATGGTGACAAAGATGATGTATTGATGCTGATGGCAGTGTAGGTGTCATGGTGCTGATGTGACGATGGTTATCGTTATTATTGATGGCAGATGATGCTGATGGCAATGTAAAAGATGATGTAATGATGATGGGGTTGCTCATGGTGATAATGACGTGATGTTCATGGCCTTTTGGCGTCCTCTGGTCGAACACCGTTTGAGACGAGTCTCAAAAGAAAGCTGTCTCTGGTGTGGACCAATCAGTTTCAAGGACGATGCATTTATTATCAGAGTGTTTTTGTTTGCATTCTGACCACAAGTATTGTGGTTAATGCAGACATGATTCCTCGTAAAAGGTTTCAGTTTGGTGTTTTAACATCTTAACACAACTGTTTTGTTGCCAGAAAAAATGGGAAAACCTATTCTCATTTTTTGGTACTTGCAAAGGAGGTCCTATGACATGGTAATGAAGGTAATGACATGATGTTGTGATGGTGTTGGTAATGATGACAACAATGAGGATGCAATGATTATGTGATGATGACAATAGTGGAACGCAATTATACAAACAAACGTTAACTTGCTCATCTCTCGTGGTGACGCTGAGCAGCAGTGGATATTCCAGTTTTATGGAGGGGTGCCAGTCTATTTATAGAACAATCACTATTGCTTGGCCACAAAGTGATTGCTATTTTATCTACCCTGGAGGAATGATGGGTTGAGTCTATCCACCTGGTTTAAATATCCACAGAATTTGGAATCTTATTTGGATAAAAATAATTCACAAAATGACTAAGGGCTGTGTGTGTGTGTATGTGAGCCATGTAGTAGTGGTGGTGTGTAAGTGTGGGGAGCGGTATTTTAACGGTTAGCGTGCTGCGCTATGAACCTGGTGACCCGGGTTCGATTACCGCTCACGGCAAACACCAGTGACGATTATTTGAACCGGTCCTGGGCCTCCCCTAGGACGACTCGGCCTCAAATGAGTACCTTGTACGACGCATAAACATCGCCATTGGGGAAACAAAGGCGGCTGGGTGTGGTGCTGGCCACCCACCCCCTCGTGTGCCGTGCCGGCCTTCATAGGTGCTCTCTAACAGCACTTGCCCCCACGGTCTGTTAAGGCTACACGGGGGATCTTTGTCTTTGTGCGTCCATGTAGTCGTGGTAGTGTGCGTACATGCGGGTGAAGTGGCGCAGTGATTCGCGCACTGCGCTATAAACCCTGCGACACGCATTAGTTTCTCGCTCACGGGAAAATAAGAGGTGGAGAATGTTTGAACCAATCCTGAACTTATTCTCGGTCGACTTAGTCTTAAATAAATATCAGGCAGGCATGCACACAGACTCACAAATACAAGTATCCCCCATATAGCTCCAAACAGACTGTCGGGGCAAATGCTGTCCGCGAGCGTCTTAATGAAGGCCGGCACGGCACACAAGTGGGTGGGTAGCCAGCCGCCTTTGTCTTCCTCTTACTGATGTTTACACACTGCACCGGGTACTCATTTGAGGCTGAGTCAACCTAGGGGAGGCCCAGAACCAATTCAGATATCCGTCACCGACGTTGGCCGTGAGGGGGAATCGAACTCGGGTCGCCGGGTCCGTAGCGCAGCAATGCGTTAAACACTACGATACGGCTCTTCGCAACGCGGACTCGGAGGCACATGGGCACCCGCACGGAAGACAAAGACACGCAGACAGACGGACGCACGCACGCGCGTGGGAGAGATGAGAGTCGTGGCTGACATTGGTGAATGCTAATTTGGAAGAGCTAGCCGCAGCCGCCCTGCCCCTCCTTACCTCCCCCTCCCCTCCACCCCTGCCCCCCACCCCCCCCCCCCCACACATTATTGATGCTCAGTGTGGGTGGGGGGCCCGAACACGTGCACTTCAATTAGCAGCCCCAAGAAATGGTGGCGGCCAGAATCTCGCCGTGTGTGTGCGTGCGTACGTGACCGGGCTGCCAATCACGACCCACTGCTGTGTGTGAGCGTGTGTGAGCGTGTGTGTGAGCGTGTGTGTGAGCGTGTGTGTGTGTGAGCGTGTGTGTGAGCGTGTGTGTGTGTGAGCGTGTGTGTGAGCGTGTGTGTGTGTGAGCGTGTGTGTGAGCGTGTGTGAGCGTGTGTGAGCGTGTGTGTGTGCGTGTGTGTGTGTTGTGAGCATGTGTGTGTGTGTGTGTTGTGAGCTTTGTGTGCGTGTGTAGTGCAGTGGTTAGCGCACTGCGCTACTAACCCGTCGACCCAAGTTTGATTCCCGCTCACGACTAATATAACAGTGCCGAAACATTTGAACCGGTCCTGGGCCTTCCCCCTAGGTCGACTCGGCCACAAATGAGTACCTTGTGCAATGTCTAAAATGGCACGACTGTGGAGACAAAGGTGGCCGGGCATGGTCTTGGCCCACCCACCCCCTCGTGTGCTCGCTAACACCGCCTTGCCTCAACAGTCTTTGTTTGCTTGCTATGACCAGCTTTGCGGTTAGTTACACTCTGGCTCCACTTGACCTGGGTTCGATTCCAGGTCATGGCACGCAATACCATGTGGCCGGTCCGAACCCCGAGGTCGAATGCAGCCTTAAACGAGTGCTCGCGACAGCACACTCCGCGCGATGGTGCGAACCAGTGGCCTCGGTGGCGGCCGACTCGCGCGGGCAGCTGCGGGATGTCACGCACTGCGCGCGAGGTCGATCCCCGGCCACAACTGACATCTCTTTGGCTGACTCGGCCTCGACGCGAGTTCCTGACACAGCGTGTGGCCATCGGCGGTGGGGAGACACGAAGGGGCGCGGGCGCGGCGCTGGCTCTGTCGGCGCCGTCCTCGCGCGATGCGGGGGAGCGGTTGGGGGGGGGGTGGGAGATCGATCTCTCTCTCTCTCTCGTCCGGCACCGCGGTGACGCCCGGCCGTGCCGCCCGCAGGCCCGAGTCCGTCGAAGCGAGCCCCGTGGTGGACAAGTCCGGCACCCTCCCGCAGCACTCGCACACCAGCTACGGAACGACCCCGCACGCGGGCGCCGGCGCGCAGCACCCGCACTTCGGTACCGGCGCGCCGCACTCGCCCGGCGGGGCCCAGCAGCTCGCCCACCCGGGCCCCGGCGCGCCGCACCCGCACGCCAACGCGCCGCACGTCGGCGGCGTTGGCCCGCAGCACCCGCACGCCGGCGCGCTGCACGTGCAACATTCGCAGGCCGCCGCGCAGTTCGCGCAGCACGCTCAGCCCGCACAGCTGGTGCAGCACGCTCAGCCCGCGCAGCTGGTGCAGCACGCGCCGCAAATGCAGCTGGTGCAACACCCGCACGCCGGCGCGGGTGCGCAGCACCTGTTCGTCAGCGGCGTGTCGGCTGTGCTGAAGCACAGTGGCCCCGTGCAGCAGCAGCAGCAGCAGCACGCTGCCGTGCGGGGACAGCAGCAGCAGCAGCACGCTGGCATGAGTGGCGGGGCCGCGCAGCACGGATACCTCGGCCTGCCCTACACGGTGAGGCCCGGGCGCAGAGCCGCTACCTCTCCCCTCTCAAGCTCGCTCGACTCGACGCTCCCTGTGGACAGTATTTACAGTCTGACGCAAGGGGGCGCCAGAGACTCTGAGGTCCGGCATTGGCAGTGTACCCGCAATGAGTTGAAGCGCGTCTGCTGATGAAGCACTGCATGTCAAAACCGTATTAAACCAATGCTGTTGAGAGAGAAAAAACAAATCTGATACACGCGTCTATTGTCTGCTTATTTATTCATCGCTCTTCATCTTTGCAGAAACAAACATACACGGGCCACGCTTGGTCAACTCGTGCAGCATTGTAAGGGGGGGCCAGTGAGGTTACGACGCCGTGGGGGGGCCGTGCGGGGCCCCCCCCCCGCGCGGCGTTTGCGTCGGTTTAAGCGATGGCCACCACCACCACCACCACCGCGCTCAGCGTGCGTGCCGTGTCGGCGGTGTCGATGTCCTTTTCAGGACCACAACTACGGGGCTCCCCCGCCGCCCACGCCCCCGGCCTCCCCTCCGCCGCTGCACCCCCTGAAGGGAGGGGGGCGCCTGCCCGCCTGTGCCCCCCGCTGCGCCGTCTCCTCTCCCCACCAGCAGCAGCAGCAGCAGCAGCAGCCGCACGGAGCGCAGGTGGCGTACGGTCACACGCGGCGCGCGCCGCTGGCGCCCGGCGCGTGGGTCGCGACGGCGCAGGGAAGCGGCGGCTGCTCCTTCTCCAGCCCCGCCACGCTGCAGAGGAGGCAGCAGCGCCAGCAGCAGCAGCAGCAGCAGCAGCCGGGGGTGGGCGGCAGGCGAGCGTCGCTGGGAGGGTCGTGGAGCCAGAGTGACGCTGGGTACGTTGTTTGTTCGTCGTCGCCGTCGCCGTTCGGGGCGTTGTTGTCGAGGGAACTGAATGGCCGCGCGATAAATCACCCGGCTCGCGACAGCGATGGTTGCCGTGGTTCTTTTGAGTCGTGGAGTCTCCCCTAGACGACTCCTTGTGCGAGTTTGGTGGCGGCTGGGTGGTGAGCCGTTCCCCCAGGCGGGCGTGGTGCCCTGCTCGCTGGGGAATTTGTCACCGAGCGCTGGCAACGAGGTCACGGGGATTTGAGGGATGGTGACGACGGTGGTGGTGATGGTGGGTGATGGTGGTGGTGGTGGTGGTCAGTGTGGCGACGATGGTGATGGTGACGATGTTCTTGCAGGGTGTTGCGGCAGAGGAGGCAGCCTGCCAGCAGGAAGGGCTTCTCTCCCGGTAAGAGGAAGTCGCTGCGTAGCGGCCTCGTGCAGTTTGTCTGTTCTCATGTGAACAATCATCATCATCATCTACGGCCCCCTGCCAGTCTCCCGCTGGATGAATTGATATGGAACATAATTGATGAATGTTCAAAGATTACACCTGTAACCTTAAAATAAAATGCTTAATTCATTTCAAAAGAAAATTCGTGCGTGCATTAAAGTCCTGACCTTTGGGCCATGCTGTATAAATGGGGGCTGTGTGTTATAGGCAGCACAAGTTGATGCTGTGTGTGATGTGATTGTGGTTGTCATTGTGATTGCTGTGGTTGTAATTGTGGTTGTTGCGGTTTCGGCTTGGACCCAGACGGGACGGGGGAGCCGCCCGCGTGCCGTCCGGGCCCACGGCCGCCCCTCCCCACCTCCCCTCCAAGCGGCGGCGGCGGCGGCGGCGCCAGGAGCCGCGGCGACTCCGAGCAGCAGGCGCAGGCCGGCTCCACGGCGGCGCCGCCGCCGCCGGAGGAGGACGAGGAGGATGAGGAGGACGACGACGAGGAGGAAGAGGAGGCGGAGGAGGACGAGGAGGACGACGAGGAGGAAGAGGAGGAGGAGGAGCTGCCCGCGTGCATGACGGTGTCCTACACGGCGGTCCAGCAGTCGCCCACGACGCTCACGCTCATGGCGAACCGCGCCGTTCCTGCCGCGGGCGGCGCGGCCGGGGCGTCGGGTGCGGCAGCGGGGGCGGCCGTGACGGCGGCGGCGCGAGGCCCCGCGCGCCCGCGCTCGCTGTCTCAGGAGCGCGGGCGCGCGGCGGGGAGGGTGGCGGCCGGCGACGGCGGCGACGGCCCCGACGGTGGCGACGGCGCTGGCAAGGCGTTCTCGCCGATGACGGTGGCGGCCGCCGTGAAGCGCAAGCGGAGCGCGGTCGGCAGGCAGCGCCGGCCGGCAGCGCGGGCCAAGAAGGTGGGTGCCGGGAGCCGCACGGGACGCGTGGGGTCGCTGCGTTGACGGCGCCTGCCCGTTTCTGCTTCGCTTCCTCCTCGTCGTCAGGAAACCACCGTGGACCTTGGCAGCGTGGTACAGTCAAACTAAGTGGCCCTTGATGAATCGGCCGAGAAGGAACGACGGTGATGACGATGGGGTGGTGCGCATCTCCATCGGCCAATTAAGGAAAACCACTCGTGGCATCCCACAAAGTTTTACCTATTTTATTGACCTCGGAGGAATGACGGTCTGAGTCAACCCTGGCCTGGATTGGAACTCGTGCGATCCCTGATTAGCAGCTCCGTATGCGCCCGTGTTTGTAAACGGTTATTGTGCACGTAGCACGTGGCCTTCTTGTAGCCCCGGGTGCGATGATGTTGCTTATGTGGGGGTCTGCTGACCGTCGACGTTTTTTTTTATTCCACAGCCGTTAAGGGAAGGTCTGCGCAAGTCTGCAAGAATAAAGGTGAGCACGTGTCTCCAATAAATATCCTTATAAATAACAATAAATTTTGATTTGAAGCTTTCGTGACTGCTGGGATTCATATTCTTGGTTCTTTCGGTAAAGTCACGTATTGTTTCCCTTCTACGTGACTTTACCGAAAGAACCAAGAATATAAATAACAAGTCACCATTCACAGGGATTGTGTACCCGCGCTAGTGCTGCGACATTGTGAGCAGATGCAGCTGCTGTTAGAGAGGAGATCGCCCTCCAGCAGATGATATTTCATTCACGTTGCCCATTTGTTGATTAAACTATGCAACTGTAGGCCTCGTTGTGTTTCGGGTTGGCACCTTAGAAGTCAAAGGTCAAATCGTGCCATGCGGCCGTTGAGAGCGGCACCCGTGACCGTAGCGATAGTGGAGAGACGGAGGTGACAGATCGCTGACGGAGAGGGTGGCTGTGGTGACGCCTCGGCCTGTGGCGGTCGATTGTACAAGTTGGCTCTTTTGCACGCGGCACATGCGTAGAACAATCTGTGGAAGGATCGGTTATTCTTACGCCGCATGTGCATGGTGCGTCAAGTCGTCCTGAGGCTTACGGGACGAACGGGGCGGTACAGCCGAGATGGACGGTACAGACGAGACTCCCGACGCCGAGTAGTGTGACACTGGAATCGGTGTGGGTGAATTGTCGCACGCCTGCGATGGTAGCGATGGCAAGGACGACCGCGAGAGGGTGGTTGCGGAAATTCAATGGTTACGGTTGAATTTGGTGATATTCTGAGGTGTATCTGGCAGATGTGAATCTTGACGAAACGGCCGCAGTGCCTCCCGTCGACGCCGTGCACCGTCCGCCGTCGGTGGTTTAGAATCCTCACATTTTCGCCGCCTGAGCGTCGGGCCTCCCCTGTTGGCCATGGTCGCCCGTCGCCTAACGCGGGGCCTCTCTCTCCGCCCGCCGCCCAATCAGAGCGTCGCGGGCGAGACCTCTCCGGGCGGGGACCTCCCCACGACTCCCACGGACGCTTTGGCCTCCTCCTCCGCCTCCTCTTCGTCCTCCTCCACCGCCGGCACCGGCGGATGCGACGACGACTCGGGCGCCGACTGGCGGAACCGCGTGCGCTCGTGGGCCGAGAACTACGAGGAGGCGCTGGCGAACCGCTACAGCGCCGACCTGCGCTCGGCCCTGCTGCTGCGGCGCCGCCAGGGCTCCCCCGTGGATAGCGACACCGGCGGCGGCAGGCGCCGGGCGTCGGTCGGCGGGGAGGGGAACGAGCCGGGCGGCGCCCCCGCGGAGCACGGGGCGGTCGCGGTCACCGTCAGGAGGTGGAGCGAACGAACTCCGGGAGTGAAGGACGGTGGGGGCGATGCTGCTGATGATGCTGGTGAAGCCGGCGATGGCGGGGATGACGGTGGCGATGGTGGCGGTGATGGTGTAGAGGACCCTGACGGCTGTGCTGGGCATGTTGAGGGGTTCAATGGGGAGGTGGAGAAGCTCGAAGTTGACTCGGACTGCGTGCTCGTCTCTCTCAAGCGACAGGTTGGTGGTGGGAGGCCTGCGCCCGTGTGTGCGTGTGTGTACGGTTGTGTGTGTGGCCTCAACGTGCACATAGCCTGGCACAAGCGCCGTGGTGACATCACCGCCACTTAGTGGCGAATGGCGGTTGTTGCGTCTATGGAAGGGAGTAGAACTGCAGTGGTTAGCGTGCTGCGCTACGATCTCTGCACCCTGACTGGGTAGCAGCTGCTAGAGAGGCTCTCGTTATTCAATGTACGACCACGGTGAAACGCGATTCCCGTTTGTGGCCAACATCAGTGGCGGACAGCACTTGCCCGAAACAGCCTATTTATTAAAGGCTAAAGGGGGAATCTTTGTCTTCGTTTATTCGTGTGTCCCCCGTGACCTGTCAGCCTTTGATACTTCACGTGGCCTCAAAGTGCACCTCGCCTGGCACAAATGCTGTGGTGACATCAGCGCCACTTCGTGGCGAATCGCAGCTGTTATTATCGTGCGCGTGTTCACGTGTGTGTGTGTGTGTGTGCGTGCGTGCGCGCGCGTGCAGTGCGCGTTGGCTCGAGGCCGCGCGGTCCCAGACTCGCTCTACTTGGGCCGCGTGGTCACGGCCGCCCGGCCGCTGCCCCCGCACTCCCTCATCATCGAGTACCGCGGTGTCGTCATGCTCAGCACGCAGTTCGAGGCCAACGGACACTTCTTCAAGAGGTGAGCGGCGCCGGGAGGGGCGGCCGAAGCCTCCGTGCTCCCCGGCGACTCGCAACGGCCGCGGCGGGGGGGGGGTGGAGCGGCAGTATCGGATCGCGTACCGGAACCGGTCGGATCGCTGCCTCGCAGGACCGCGAGAGACGGCGAAGGCTCGGCGGTGCGGCCCGTTAAAGCGGCAGCGGATAGGCCGCGACTGGATAGCGCGTACCTCCCCCCCGCGGGCTGCGAGGCTAGATGGGGCTGTGTGCGTGCGCAGGCCGTACCCCTTCGTGCTGTTCTACTCCAAGTGCGACGGCGTGGACGTGTGTGTGGACGCGAGGACCTTCGGCAACGCCGCGCGATTCATCCGCCGCTCGTGCACGCCCAACGCCGAGGTGCGACGCCACTCCACGCCGCCAACGCCGCCGCCGCCACCGACCCGCGTTCCTCACGCTGCAGCTGCGATGCTCCTGAATCGATCGAGCGAGCGAGGGGGGCACGCCGAGTCTGGGGTGTTACCGCGCTGCTAATGCCACAGAAACGTATAAATTAACTACTGCAGAACATGTGTTTCCACTTAGAGAGATGGGTGAGTGATTCGGAGGCATGGAAAACCACAGACAAGCGGGAACGCAGCCAGAACGGGCGCCGACAGTTTCCCAAGCTCTGTGGTTCTGTTGGGATAAGAAATCTCTGACCCGAGTTCGATTCCCGGCCACGGCTATAAGATCAGCGGCGAGCGAGTTCTGAATCGGTCGTGGGCCTCCCAACAGTTTCCCAAGCTCTGTGGTCCTGTTGAGATAAGAAACCTCTGACCTGAGTTCAATTCCCGGCCACGGCTATAAGATCAGCGGCGAACGAGGTCTGAATCAGTCATGGGCCTCCCATGTACCACGCCTTCCTTTCTTGCACCGTGCCGGCCTTTGTAGGTGCTCGCTTAACAGCACTTGCCCCAACGGTCTCTAAATGTTACGGTGGGCGGGCACCTTTATCTTTGTACGCGATACCAGGTGCGGCACATAGTGGAGAAGGGTGTCATCCGGTTGTGCATCTACTCGGTGGGGCTCATCGGCAAGGGCTCGGAGATCACCATCCCCTTCGACTTTGACTACGGCGGCTGGTGAGGATCCCGGAGACACGCGGGCGGGTGGGCGGACGGGTGACAACACGCACACACACGGTCCCAGCCCACTCGGCAGTGCCCAAGCACAACTAATCCACTGCCGGATCAGAGCCTCCCCCACACCCGAAAGTGAAAGACGCTGCTGGGCAGTTGGGAGTCACCCTCCAACGACAACACAGAACAGAGGAGCAAAGTTCACAACAATGAGTGGAGCGCCAGGTGGCTAAAACTCAGCGAGTTGGCACAGGTGGTGCATCTGCCAGTCATCTCAGTCAGCCTGTCCCCGTGATTTCCTCCTAGCTAACTTTTACCAGTTCACATGGCCTCAAGGGTGCACCTTAGCCTGCCACAAGCATTGTAGTGATGCCACCACCACTTAGTGGTGAACGGCGGTTGTGGTTGTTGACCTGTGTGTGTGTGTGTGAACATGTGTGTGAATTGACCGTTTGTGTCACCACGTGCATTTGACAGCGCGTGTGACCGTGTGTGTTTGACAGCGCGTACCGCGTGGAATGTGCGTGCGCGCGCCGGGAGACCGAGTGCCCCGTGCAGCGTCGCAACAACGAGGTGCTGCAGAAGTCTCGGCACGGGTGAGGCTCGCGCAACCCCTCGCCCTTCCCTCGCTATCCCTCGCCTCCCCTCGCCTCCCACACCACCGCTCCTGCCGCCGGTTCGAGGCGACGCGCGCCTGGGCTACGGGCGTCCCTCGCCGCACAAGCTATATCACCTTCGCTCGTGAACTTAAGCCCTTGAACGTTAAGTGCGTCGCTCCATTCCGGAACGGCAGTGATGTCGCTAGAAGTCTGAAAGATGTTTTTGATCACGAGTCGGAGGATCCAAAATTCTGCTGCCAGAGCCCTCTCACCCACACCCATAACACTGCAGCCACTCCACCAGTCAAGATAGATCCCCCCCCCAGAGCTCTCCTCTGCCTGATCCTCTCGCTCTCCTCTCGCTAGGAGAGAAGCAGAGCGTCTCCCGCCCCAGCTCCCCCTGAAGCTTTCCCCAGTCAACCTCTGCTCGGGAAGAGTTTATCCATGCCTTCTGTTGCTGCTGCCACCTTAGATTGCGGAACCTTCCCCCAGCCATCTGCCCCTATTCAAGTCCGGACACAAAACCTTTTTTCGTCCGCTTATGACTGCCGACCTCGTTCTACAAGCCAAACATTGAGCCCACTGCTTCTGCACAGCGTCTTGAGATGCAGTCGCATGTAGACTGTGAATACAACTTGTACTGCATTGGTGATGTGGGATGTAAGACCCAGGCGTGTGTGTGTGCGTGCGTGCGTGCGTGCTTAGATACGACACGCGGCGCCGTGGCTGCCGGTCGCGAGAGGAGGCGGAGAGAAGCGGAGACTCGGGGCATGCGGCCTCCACGGAGAGACCCGTGTCTCCGATACGACTCTCGCTGTCGGGAATACAGGTGACCCCCTCCCACATCCCGTGTCCGAGAGGACCCAGTCAGAGACCGGTCGGTCAGTCCATTGTCTAGCGACCTGCTCGCAGAGCTTGAGCCCACGACCTCGCCATTGTTGCCTTCTTGTCCCCAACGCGGCCATTATCAATTGCCTTAGAGGGTGTCCGAGAGAGAGAGAGAGAGACCCATTTACCCGGGTTTGAACCCACAACGTTGCTTTAACATCTACTGGGCGCGGCCATTATGAACTCGTGGGGAGACCGTGAGAGAGACGGCCGGCCGTAGGCCTCGAGCGTTTTCGGCACGACCATCACGAGGCCCCCTCGAGCGCGAGACCCCCCCCAGACCTGGGGCTCGAACCCGGGTGCCCTGGTGCCGGCTCGAGGTCTCCGTCGGGGCCACGTCGAGCCGGCCGCGGGAGTGACGGCTGCGGCGGGGGCCGTGTGCGAGCGCAGTGCCGCGAGGAGCGCCGGCTGGAGGCCGCCTCCGCACGCGCCGACCGCAGGGAGCGCAGGCGGAGCGACGCCACCGGCTCGGCGCTGGCGGACGCGGCGAGCCGCGGCAGCAGCGAGCGAAAGGATCGCGTCAAGGCAGAGGGGCCGGGGGGCGCGGGGTCGCTGAGGGAGCCCAGCGGGGAGGGGGGGCCGCCGCCCAGGCCCGGGGGTTCGCCTGACGTCAAGCGGGAAACCGGCACCCCCCCAGAGGTGTGTGTAGGTGTAGGTGTGTGTAGGTGTAGGTGTGTGTAGGTGTGTGTGTGTAGGTGTAGGTGTGTGTGTAGGTGTGTGTAGGTGTGTGTGTGTGTGTGTACTATTCCGGCCTTTGTAAGTGCTCGCTAACAGCACTTGCTCCAACAGTGTGTTAAGGCTATACGGGGGGATCTTTGTCTTTGTGTTGGGAGGTGTGTGTGTGTGTGGTGTGAGTTTTCTTAAATAATGCAGCGCTCACAAGCGCTGTTCAACCCTGCAGAACACCGTCCTTCTGGACACTCTGCGAGGCTTTCCTGGGTAAACTATGAACAATGTATTATCCATAGCCAGTGTGACAGGGGAGCCAGCAACTCATCTTTAATTGAATAGACAGATGGAGAGATACAGGCACACGGAACAGGTCTACAGATCGATCTGTTTATATCTGTAAAAAACAGATGGACGATTAAATGAATGTATATTCCTACGGATCGAAAGGTGATTGGACAGATGTACACACACACACACTAAAGAACGACAAATTTGCAAACAGTTTGATCCGCGTGCGGGGAGAGCCTGCCGTACGTTCAGATGGACAACCACGAGTATGGGTGAACGATTGCACGTCCGAGTGAACGATTCATCTGTCGGACAAACAGACAAGGCAGCCAGAAGCTCCACCGAATGAGCGGACAGACTTGCCATCGGCGACGTGCCCCCCGATGCCGCCGCCCCTCCCGCAGGCCCGCGCGACGCCCGCCAAGGAAGCGACGACCCCCTCGCGCCCCTCCCAGCCGCGCTCCTCCCGCTGCCGCCCCCGCCGTTGCTTTGGACGCTCGCGCCGCAAGCCCCGGGCGTCCGACTCCTCCGGCGGGGCCGGGCCCGGCTCCGCCTGCTCCGCCGCCGCCGCCGCCGCCGCCGCCGCCGCCGCCTCGTCGTCGTCGTCCTCGTCGTCGTCTGCGACCTCGGGCGCCGTGCCGTTGCTCCCGCCGCGCGCGCCGACGCCGCAGTGCGCGGCGGCGCCGTCGGACGCGGGGGGCGACGGCCCTGGCGGCGGCCTCGGCCGCGGTCGCGGCGGAGGCGCCGCCGGGAGCCGGGGCGGGGGGAGCGCCGGCCGAGGGGGCGGCGCCAGGGCCGGACGGGATGTGCGGAGACGGAGCGTGGGCGGCGGGGGGGGACGGCGGCTCCGGGTACGACGGCTCCATCGACGGCGGCAGCAGGGCAAGTGTCTCGCGCCGTTCGCGGTTAACGTCGCCGTTGGTCGTCGCCTCCGTCATGGACGGCGCGCTCGGCAGACTCGTGAACGTCACCGTCGGTGATGGGAACGTCACCGTCGTCGCGCGTTTTGCCATGTCCGGCGTCTCTTTGTTGTTGTCCGGGAGCTCTGCCGCTCATCGGATTCCTCCGGTGTAAATAAAGATTCTGGTTCTGACTTTGACAGCCTTGCGAACGAGAAGCGTTTCCACCCCGAGCGGTATTCCACGCGGGACGTCGCGGTGGCCGCGTTGATCAAAATGTAAATTGGTCGCGTGCACCGTGGGCTAACGTCTCGCCGCCCGTCCCCCAGGAGGGCGTGGGCTCCGTGTCGTCTCCCGCGCCATCCGACGCCTCCCTGGCCGCCTCCTCCGCCGGCGGTGGCGGCGCCGTGCCGAGCGGCGGCGGCGGCGGCGGCGGCGGCTGCGTGAGCCCCGTGCGCGTGTCGGACGACCCCAGCTCGCTGGCGCACGTTCTCAACCTCCTGCTGGGCCTGGGCCCCGCGCTGCAGGTGTGCACCGCGCCCAAGCACTACGTGCGCTTCACCTCGCCCTTCCTGCCCGAGAAGCGGCGTGGCGGCGCCGGCGCGGGAGCCGCCGGCGCGGGGCCCGGCGGCGCGGCCGGGGGCCGGAGGCCGCGGGGCTGGCGCAAGACGCAGCAGCAGCACCACCAGCAGCACCAGCAGCACCAGCCGGCAGACGCGCTGTCGGCGCCCTGCAAGAAGGTGAGCGGGCGCTGGGCGAGAGGTTCGGGCAGGTACGGCACCTGCGCCCCTGCTTGTCCGTTAATTACTTTCGCGACGAATAGTTTTTCAGAATTATTTGTCGGAGCCAACGTTTGTCACTGCCCAGATTTTAAAGGCCACGCTGCAGGTGTGATGACGTTTTGGTCCTCTCCACCCCTGTTCCACCTCCTCCTCCTCTCCTATCTTCGCCCGTCCTCTTCTCTCCTCCCATCTCTTCTTCTGTCTGGTTTCCTGTCCCGTCTCCCTACCCCCCCCCCCCCCCTGCTACCATGCCGCCCTTTCCTCTCTGCTCTTCTGTCCGCCGCTCCTCTTCTTTCCTCCGCTTGCCCTCCCCTCCCTCGCCCACCCCCAGCGGTGGCTGCGGCAGGCGTTGGCCGAAGCCCAGGACGCGGCGCAGGAGGGAAGTTCCACTCCCGCTGCTGCGCCGGCCGTGGACGTTGGCGCCGACGCCCTGCAGCTGCAGCGTCCGTCGCAGGGCGGCAGCCCCTCGGCCAGCGAGACGGGCGACAGCCTGAGCTGCGTGTCCCCCTCGCTCAGCCTCGCCTCCTCCAGCGGTGAGGCCGCTGGAGCAGGCGGCTCGCCGCTACTCCGCGGGGCGCCGACCGGCCGCTACCACGGACATCTGATGTCGCTCTCAGGCCGTAGCCGTCGTTGCCGCAGAATAAAGCGAGGAGAACCTAGGGGACGGATAATACAAACGGGGCACAGTGAAAGTGTCCCGACGATATTTTGACCCATCCTGTCTCGTCCCCCCCCCCCCCGTCCTGTCTCATCCGCCCGCCCGCCCACACACAACACACAGACTTGCCGGCGCCTCCTAAGAAGCGTTGCGTGCGCGCCAACTCCCCGCACGCGCCGGAGCCCACGGCTTCCTCCTCGGCCGCCGCAGCCTCCTCGAGCTGGGATCCCGGCACGGACGGCGCCGTCCCCGACGGAGCCCGCGCCGCCGCCGCCGCCGCCGCCATCGCGGTGACGCCGCCGCCGCAGCGCCCGGCCGAACCGCCGCCCCCCGGCGATCCCTCTGGCGCGGCGGCGCACTGGGACGACTGCGTGGTGGTGGGCGTCCAACAGCCGCCGCCGCCGCCGCAGCAGGAGCAGCGGCAGGAGCGGCAGGAGCGGCAGCGGGAGAGGGTCGAGGACGTGGACCGCGAGGAGCGCCGGGGCGACCGTGCGGACGAGCGGCGGCGGAGCGGCGACGCCGATCCGGGGAGCGGCGGCGACGCCGATCCGGGGAGCGGCGACGCGCTGCCAAAGTCCGGAGCGGACTCGGCGGTGGACGATCGGGCGCTGGATCTGGACGGCGGCTGCCTGCCATTCCGGCCCGTCTTCTCTCCCATCAGCCCCGAGGGCCCGTCCTACCCGCCGCCGCCCGTCTTCGAGGTGCCCGCCGTCCGCGGCGCGTTACGGGGTGGGCGCGGGGGCCCGAGAGGCCACGCGAGAGAATCCTTGAGCCGGCGTGAAGGTGCCGCATGCCCGGTGTTCGTTTTGTTTTTTTTGTTTGTTGCGTGTTGCACCCGATTTGAAGAGCGTGAAATGGCTCACAGGGCGATACCAAAATAAATCGACTGAAAACTGAAAAAAAAAAAAGTGGGCCTCGGCGCCTGGCAGGCGAGGAGTTGGTGGATTGTGTCGAGATGGGTTGCGCCGTTTAGCGCGTCGGTCCCGTTCGAGGCCACGGTTTCTTAATCCCCTGCGCCGCTGTGCGCCCAGAAGTGTAAATGTGTTCGCCACAGCCAAATCGTCCGGTCGCGTGTGGCCCGGTGCAGTGTGGGAGTTCCCACGGTTAGGCCAAAATATTTCTCTTGGGGCGGGGTTCTCTCGAGATGAAGTTTCAAATTTAGTTTTAGCGTGGTGAGGCCAGGATGGGTCTCATTTTCCAGAGTGACTTGGGTCACCAACATGACAAAAGCAATACGTGTGTGTGTGGGAAGTGGTTAGCGCGCTGTGCTACAAACCTGGAGACCCGGGTTCGATTCCCGCTCGTGGCCAACGCCAGTGACGGATTATCTGAAACGGTCCTGGGCCTCCCCTAGGTCGACTCGGCCTAAAACGAGTACCTGGTGCGATGTGCAACCCTCACCACTGGGGAGACAAAGGCGGACAGGCGTGTTTGTGTGTCTGCGTGCGTGTGGCGTGTGCGCACATTTGTTCGCGCACCAGCGTCTCCGCGCGTGTTTGCAGGCCCTCGTGCGAGCGCACGCGTGGTTCGCGTGCGCTCACGAGCTTTGTGTACGTGCGCTCGTGCGTGTGCGTCAGAACATCTCGTCGCCCGAGTGCTCCCAGGACAACACGGGCCTTAGCTTCTACTCGTTGGAGGCCTCCTTCCTGTCCCTGGGCCCCGAGGAGCCGCGTCTCGCCGTGCCCGAGCGCCCGGGCCTTCCATTCTTCACGGGGGCTACTGGCGTTGGCGGCGGCGGCAGCGGCGGCGGTGCCGGACACCACGGCCTGGATGCCAACCTCCCCGGCAGGGCCTTCTCGCAGTTTCCGTGCCAGGGAAACAGCGGCGGCGGCGACGACGACGACACGGCGGACGTGGAGGAGGTGGGCGACCGTTTGCAGCAGCCCCAGCAGATGTTCTTCTACCACCATGCCCAGCAGCAGCAGCAGCAGCTCACAGATCAGCATCACCAACATCATCAGCAGCAGCTGTTAGATCAGCATCCTCATCAGCAGCAGCAGCAGCAACAACAGTTGATAGAGCATCATCAGCAGCAGCAGCAACAGCAGCTTATGGAGCAGCATCACCATCACCAGCGCCACCTTCCCCAGCAGCAGCAGCTCGGCTCGAGCGAGCGACCTCAGGGCCGCTCCACTGGCGACGAGGATGAAGACGACGATGAGGAGGAGGATGAAGAGGATGAAGAGGACGACGATGACGACGATGACGACGACGACGACGACGAGGAGGAGGACGATGAGATGGAGCTGCGGCGCTTAGCCGCGCGGGACCGCGTGCTGCTCGCCGGGGACGCGGAGCGGCAGGGTCTGGGGTCGGAACGGCCGGGCCCGGGCAGCGCGGACGGAGCCCTGTGGGAGATGGGGTCGGGCTCGGCGCCGGCGCTGCTGGCGCTGGGACGACGCCCGGGCTCGGCGTCCGCGCTGCTGCTGCACGCGCCGCTTCCTCGCCGGAAGAAGGTGGGTGCCGGAGCGCTGGGCTAGCGCTGGGCTAGCGCTGGGCTAGCGCCGGGCCCGCGTGGGACCACTGCCTACGTTCGGCTCTTGGGGGTCTCACCGATATTCTTCTTCCTCTGAGTCTCGAGTAGTTTCATTGACGCCACGAGCTCTAGACGTGCCTTGACTTGACTCGAACCTCAACAGTCTTAGATTTGCCTCCACGAGTCCTGGGTGCCCAGAATCCCAAGAATGTCGTTGATAGCTTTGCAGAGACGAAGGCAGTCCGGCAGGAGCTCCTGGGATCCTTGAGGTTTAAGAACTCGCGAATAAAATATTCAGGCGCGATGCAATAGCGCCCTCTAGTGACGTTGCTGCGGCGTGACGACCGTTAACTACGTCTCAACACGCAGTGCATTGTGGGACACGGAACCACAGCTACGTCGTGACCAGTGGAACGGGCTGCGATAAGTACAGATCTGCTGTGTGTGTGTCTCTGCGCGTGGGTCCCTGACTGCTGCTGCTGCTCCTGCTGTTGTGCAGGTGTCGCTGCTCGAGTACAGGAAGAGGAAGAAGCAGGGCGGCGGGGAGCTGCGCGCTCGCTCGGAGCTCCTAGTGCCACCCTCCTCCCACGTGGCCGCCTGGTGCGTACGCGCCTCTCACAGCGGTGCGCGGTTGTGGTGAGAGCGGGGCGGTAGTGTGCTGTTGTGGTGAGAGCGGTGCAGTAGTGTGCTGCTGTTGTGGTGAGAGTGGTGCGGTTGTGGTGAGAGCGGTGCGGTAGTGTGCTGTTGTTGTGGTGAGAGCGGTGGAGTAGTCTGCTGCTGTTGTGGTGAGAGCGGCGCGGTTGTGGTGAGAGCGGTGCGGTTGTGGTGAGAGCGGTGCGGTTGTGGTGAGAGCGGTGCGGTTGTGGTGTGGTGAGATCGATGCAGTTGTGGTGAGGATTGGTGCCATTGTGGTGAGGGCGACGCGGTTTTGGTGAGAGCCGTGCGGTTGTGGTGTGGTGAGATCGATGCGGTTGTGGTGAGGATTGGTGCCATTGTGGTGAAGGCGGCGTGGTTTTGGTAAAGACAGCGCGGCTGTGGTGTGTGCGTGTGCAGGACCCCTGCGGAGCGCCGGGACCCCGGTTTCGTGGAGCGCTTAACGAGGACGGCACTCCCGACGAAAAATCACGACAAAGGTGAAACACTGGGCCTTCAATTAACTTCCATCAGTGCCATCATCGGCATCATCATAAATAATAAAAATCATTCTGAGCGTTTTCGTAGTTATCATCTCCGTTGTCATCGCCGTCGTTGGTATCGTCGCGAGCATCATTACCGTTGTGCCACAATGTGGGGATGCAAGACGGAGCGCGAATTCCCGTCGTCAGCGTCTGCAATTAATTAGCGCTGTCACTGCCCCATTACAGCGCCTTCTGCATCTCCAGTGCCATGGTATTGCTCTTCGTGTTTGGAGCTCCACTGCTACTCAGTCCACAGCGTGTACAGCGTGTGGAGCGTGTACCTCGTGTGCAGTGTGTGCAGCGTGTACCGCGTGTACCGCATGTACAGCGTGTACCGCTTGTGCAGCGTGTACTTCGTGTGCAGCGTGTACCGCTTGTGCAGCGTGTACCGCTTGTGCAGCATGTGCAGCGTGTACCGCTTGTGCAGCGTGTACCACGTGTACCACGTGTGCAGCGTGTACCTCGTGTGCAGCGTGTACCTCGTGTGCAGCGTGTACCGCTTGTACAGCGTGTGCAGCGTGTACCGCTTGTGCAGCGTGTACCGCTTGTGCAGCGTGTACCGCTTGTGCAGCGTGTGCAGCGTGTACCGCTTGTGCAGCGTGTACCGCTTGTGCAGCGTGTACCGCTTGTGCAGCGTGTGCAGCGTGTACCTCGTGTGCAGCGTGTACAGAGTGTGCAGCGTGTACCTCGTGTGCAGCGTGTACAGAGTGTACCGCGTGTACCGCTTGTACAGCGTGTACAGCGTGTACCTCGTGTACCGTGTGTACAGCGCGTGCAGCGTGTACAGCGTGTACCACGTGTACAGCGTGTACCTCGTGTACCGTGTGTACAGCGCGTGCAGCGTGTACAGCGTGTACAGCGTGTACAGCGTGTACCTCGTGTACCACGTGTACAGCGTGTACCTCGTGTACCGTGTGTACAGCGCGTGCAGCGTGTACAGCGTGTACCGCTGGTGCAGCGTGTACCGCGTGCGTTCGTCGCCCCCTTCTTGGCCTCGCCGATCGAACGCGAGGACGTCCATTATTCTCCTGGCAACGGCGCGCGGTAGCGGAGAGGAGGTGCGATGATTGAGATCCCGTTTCCTTGGCAACGGCACGTGCGCCGTGGCGACCTGCTGGGCGGCCTCCTTGGCGCATCTGTTGCCGCGGCAACGACGGCGGCGGCAGCAGCCCCACGCCGTTTGCCGCGGTGTCCATAGCCCCCCCCCCCCCCACCCTCTGTATCGAGCTGCGCGACGCCTCCGTTGGCATCGAGATGCCGTGGCGGGGGAGCGCCGCTGGTGCATCCGTCAGCCTTGTCAGTCAACGCATTAAAGCTGAGCTTGTCTCGTGACCTCCTGCCAGCAAACGAGCCTTCCGCACGGAACGTAATTCCCCTCACGGTGCACCTAGCCTGGCGCAGTTGCTGTTGCGACGTCACCGTGACGAAATAACGGATGCCGATGTCGCTCGCCACCGACGTTATCCCTCGTCGGGATCTGAACTCGGGTCCGCAGGGGTTCACGTTGTGCTGGGGTGCTTAACCGCTCGCCACTCCACCCGGAAACGGTGTCGCATCCTGGGGTTAATGACAGATGGCAAATTGGCGCTGTGCGCGCGGGCACAGGGAGCAGCGGTTGGCGAGCCGCGCTGCGAAACCCCGCGGCCCCAATTCGATTCCCACTCGCGGCCACCGACGCCATTGTGACGATTGGCTGAACCGGTCCTGGGCCCCTTCTCCTAGGTCGACTCGGCTGCTCAAATGTGGGTTCCTGGTGCGGTGTGTAAACATCGCTAGTCGGGAGGCAAAGGCGGTCGGGGGTGGTGTTTGCCACCACCCCCTTGTGCGCCCGTTGTGCCGTCCTGCATAATTTCTACTCGCTTACGGCACTTGCCCCAACAGTCTGTTGAAGGCTGCACGGTGGGGAATCTTTGTCTGTTGTCTCTGACAGAGAGAGCAGGGGCCGAGGAAGCGAGTGGAGAGATGAGGCAGGCGTCGGCCTTCGGCCAGCAGAGCTCCAAAGCGGTGAGCGCCGTACTCTGGACCTCGCACGTCTCCGCGGGCACTCGCATAGCGACTCCACGGGGGTTGTGATGCCAGCTGCTGATGGTGACGCCGATGACGCTCTGTGTCCCCCTGTGCCGCAGCTGGGTTTGAGATCCCGGTCGTCTGCTCGGGGCGGTGGGGGTGACGGCGCCCGAGTCATCGAGCGGACCGCGACGCCTCCTCCTCCCCCCCCCACCTCCTCCTCCCCCGTCGCGTTCGGCGGGCACGCACGGCGCCCACCCCCACGCCGGCCCCACCGGCGTCAGCGCCGGCCCGGCCTCGCTTGCGGCTCCGGATTTCCCGCCGGGCCTGCCCGCTAACTCGTCGAGCCTGGCGACGCTGCTGCACGGCGCCTACCCCCTCGCCTCCGCCGCTCGCCCTCCCGCCGTCGCCGCGTCTATCGCGTCGCCGCCGCCGCCGCAGCAGCAGCAGCAGCAGCAGGGCCAGCGCAGCAGCCTCACGACGATAACGCCGGGAGCTCTCCACAGCTTCGGCATGCACAGCCTCCCTGCGCGGGGGGGCGGCACCGCTCCTCAGCACCAGCACGGCCACATGGGCTCCTCGCACTTTGTGCACGGGCAGAGCGCGATGCTGGCCATGGTTCACAAGCACCACCAGCAGCAGCAGCAACAGCAGCAGCACCAACAGCAACAGCAAGTGGCGCCCTCCACCACCACCGCCACCACCGCAGCCGCCGCCGTCCTGCAAGCGCACGGCGGCACCGTGGCCCCCACAACGATGGCGGCCGGGGAGCTCAGCCCCCCGCCGCACGGTGCGGCTCGGCTCGGCTTTGGACCGGCGCTGCCGCACGGCTACGCGGTGGCGGCGGCGGTGCAGCAGCAGCAGCAGCAGCAGCAGGCGCACCGCCTCAAGGAGGGCGCGGTTGCTGTGGCGGTGGCGGCGGCGGCAGCGCCCAGGATTTTGTCGGTGGAGCGAGAGACGAGCGCTGCGATGAACCAGCAGCCGTCTGTGCTGCTGTCGGCCAGCAAGGCAGGCAGCCTCAGCCTGCACTACCAACATCAACATCATCAGCAGCAGCAGCAGCAGTCGCTTCAACAGGCACTGTCTCAACATCAGCAGCAACAGCAGCTGCAGCAGTTGCAGCAGCAAACACGAATACAACAGCTGCAACAGGCTCGGCCGCAGAGTCAAGTGATGAGTCAGCAAAAGCTTCAGCTTCACCATCACCATTATCATCAGCAGCAGACACAGCAGACACAGCAGCAGCAGCAGCAACAGCAGCAGCAGGCGCAGCATGTTTATCAGCAACCGCAGCAGGGGGCGGCTGCCGGCGTTGCGCCCGTCTCTCCAAACTCTCCCGTGGGAGCGGCGAGCACGGGCAAGACGCAGCCCCCGCTGGCGTTCCAGCTGCTGCAGCACCACCACCACCTTCAGCAGCAGCAGCAGCAGCAGCAACGCGCAGCGAGCGGCGTGGACCGGGCGGCGATGGCGCAGCGCACGGCGTTCCGGCAGGCGAGCGGGGACGGCCTGGCGCTGTCGCCGCCGCCGCCGCCCGCTCTGTGACGATCCTGCGTCGCCGGGAGACAATTTACCCCTCCGCTCCTCGGGCCTGAAGATGCGGAGGGGAACTCGGCGGAGGAAGGAGCCCGCCCACGGCGCGGCCCGCCTGGCCCTCTCGGTCGAAGTTGTCGCTGCGAAAAGACTCCTCTCTCCCTCCCGTCTGCCTGTCCGGTGCGCGGCGCGCCTCTGGGGGAGAATTGGGGGGTAGGCTCGGCTGGGAGGGCGGTGTGGGAGAAGTTTACCGAACCGCGACGAGGGTCGTGGCAGAGATGTGTTTTGTGTTTTTTTTCATCGTCGGCTCCTGTGCCTGCCTCGGGTGCGGCCCCAAATGTCACCTGACGTAGTCGGCGCCCCCGGGAGCCGTGCGTAAACGCGGGTCGGCCGCGCCACCGTCGCCTCCGCGGCCGTCACCGTGACCGCGCGCCGCCGTGGGCGGGGTCGCGAGATTGTCGCTGCCCGCGCCGTCGTCGGCACCGCCACGCCTCGCCCGTCGACCTCGGCTGCACGGCTCTCGCGGCTTCCGACCGGCCCCGGCCGGAGACGGAACGAGGCCGCTGGGCGAGGTCGCCGCTCGCGTGCCGCGGGGCGACCTTCCGCGGACCCGGCGTGACCCCGCGGCGGCGAGGCCGTCTCGAACCGGGCAGCACCTTATCCTTCGGGCGGATTGTAAACGAGACTACGAGTGAGAATTGTGGTAAACAGACCAACCGGCAGACTGTGTAGATATCGTGTAGCAAACCGTTTCGGAAATTAATTTAAAAAGTTTTAAGATAGGAAGGTCAAGAGTTCACATCTCGTGGGGTAGGGAGGTAGAATTGTCTTATCACCTCTCGGGGTGATTCAAATAACTTGTCACTGTGGTTAAACCGGAGCAGTTGTGGAAATGTGGAATTTCCACCACTGCTTTCTGGCCACCAGCGGGTATGAGCGCCGCTCGATGCCTCGTTCGCTTGCGCGGGGAGGTGCCGGCGTGCGGTTTCACTCTTCACGAGGATTGGTTCCTAATGTTTCATAAACAACCCCTCCGCGTTCCGCTGCCGCACGCCGTCGAGGTCGCAGCCCCCCCCCCGTTCCACGCTCCCGAGCGTACCCGACACGACGTTCAGTTACGAGGGCAGTGTTTCGATGTACATTGTTTTTTAATTTGTCAGTTGTATGACTTTTGTATAATGTGCTGTACAAGTAACGGAGGAAGAGAGACGACGACAACAACAAAAAACACTTCTCCGTACAACGCCTCGGAGCCCGCGGGGCCCACGGCGCCGTAGAGCGACGCTGCCGGGCGGCCCGTCCAGTCGCCCCTCTTGTCCGGCGCCGGATGACGGCTCGTGAAAGCCAGCTGCGAGCGCTGGGGGGTCGCCGCCGTGCCGGTCCCTCCCCCCCCCCCCGTAGACGTAGAGGCCCCTCGCTGCACAGCTGTCGGGGCTCAATCGAGAATAAACCACCGCTCTTTTTACCACGACACCGTTTTTCATTCCGCTGCATTTGTTCGCAACTCGGCTGAGGCCCACGGACCGAGCGCCACGGGGCTGGCAGAGCGCAGCGCGAGCACGCGGCCGCGCACTTTGCCTTCTGCCAGCGGGCACGCTCGTTGCTCGGCGGCGCCGGTGGCGTCGGCGCGGTTATTGCCGGCGTGCGACGCAAAGCCTTGGCCCTCCGCCGCAGACCGCGCGCTTCGCCCCCCACCCCGCCCACCCCTCTGCTCCCCCCCCCCCCCCCCCCCCACCGGGCCGCTCGCACGCCACGTTTACATCCGCCGTGCCCGTTTATTATCCGTTTACATCGGAGACGACGACGACGACGAATCGCCGAGCGACAACGGGAACGACGAGAAGCCGACGGCACGACGGCGGCGCCGACGACCGCGATGGCGACGAGCGACGAGCGGGTTGCTTGCACATTTTTGGCCTTTTAGCGTCGTTTATTTTTTTTATCGCGGACGTCTCCGAAGCTGGCCGCGGACATTTTGGGCTCTCGTTCACTGGGACTGCTTCTTCGAAAACCGTCGAGCCAGAACTTCGCCGCTGAACCGAACACGCCGCCGTAAAAAAAAAACATTTTAGGGTGATTACAAAAAAAAAAACCACACGCAACGCAAAACAGCGTCCAGGGCGAGGAGCGCCCTGGAGGATTTTCGTTTTTTTTTTTTGGGGTCGGAAAAACTTTTATCGTAAATCTCCTGAGCGCAGGGTCCTTGTCTGTTTGATGTTGAGAGCCGTGTACATCTTGCGTGCCTGCGAGCGGAAGCTGCGGGGGAAGCCAGCGGCAGCGGCAGCCGCGTCGGTTGCTTCAATAGAGGTCATCTGCAAACACAAGTCGGGTGACGTATCAGTTGGCCTCCTGGAAAAGAGCGCGTTCCTCTCTGGGGTGTAACGGCGAGGCAGCCGTTTGGCCACCGCGAGGTCGCGCGAGCGCTGTGGGGGGGGGAGGTGTGAGGGGCTCTGTCTGCGAGCGTGGCGGAGCGAACCGGCGTGCGTTCAACAGTTTATGGATTTTAATTGAAAATATTAAAAACTCACCCGGACATTTTTAAACGTTTTACCTGTATCGATATTTTTTTTTCTAATTTCTAAAACGTTTGGATCTTGTCCGGCGCGGGAACATTGGCTCGCGCGCAAATCCTCGGTGCGCGCGTGCGAGCCGATTTTATTTTTTATTAACCAGTCGACCTAAATTAAAGCATGGTAACGCTGCCACAAATTGGCGGAGGCGACGGATGGCGCGCGCGCGACGCCGGGCTCTTTTGCGGTCACCTTGGATGAGCCGGCGGTGCAAAATCTCCCGTGCGTTGGTGTCCTCTGCATCGTCTCGCTGCCTTCCTCCGTCCATTCCGTCCACATTGGTCCCGCGGCCGGACGAGCGGATCGAGGCCTGGCGTGTGTGGCTTTGCTCGCGTCTAAGGAATTGTCCTTTTTGCAGAAATCCCCACAGGCAAATCGCAATTCGCTCGAGAATAAATAGATCGGGATGAGTCTTAGTTTTACAAAAGTGCTCTGGTGCATCGGTCCACTGCCAGTATGGGGGCCGCGATTGTTGCTGTGTGTACTCCCCATTGAGTCATTTGCGGTGTAATTTTGCAAATTTGAACCCTGACGGCGGCACGTTCTGGCACACGACGGCCTACTCTTGCGAATGACGTCGAGGGATCTTCAACGTCTGCTGCGAAAGCAGCCTGCGCATATCGTGGTTATCGGGCGCGCAGTACTAACCAGGGCGTGGCCGCTGGATTCGAACCGTGAGCCTCTGCAACGCGCTGCCACTGGGTCGCGGCGCTGCCTCGTCACGCCGGGAAACGACCCTGAGAGACGATGCCTCGGAACCACCACGGTCTGGTGCAGGGCCAACGCCACACGGCGTTCGCCTGCGCCCTGCAGAGCGCGCGTGTCGCCGTGCGTCCGTGTCACTTGTAGCGATGTCATCGGCTAGATGAGACTAAAATCAATATGCAGGGTGCCCGTGAAGGTATCATTAATTGTTGAAGAGGAATAGACGGCTTGAGCTCGGTTAACAACAACAATAATTATTTACCCAAGAGGGTCCTGCATTGGGATGTTTGGCCAATGACAGTTTCATTGTATGGGGTTTTTTTTTTAGCTATGGGAGGATTTATGAGAACCTGGAGACAACGGGGTGGAACATACAAACTCACACTGAGAGGCGACCAATTCGGGAATCAAACCAGGCTCTTATTACTGTGGTGCGCAAGTCTTTCCACCGCGTCTCACACGCGCACACACAGGAGTGTGTATTCGACCTTGCAGTTCACACGGCTGCCTAACTCTGGTTCTTGGCCAACGAATGATACCTCCATGGACGGCTGCCCGC